ACCTGTGAGGTTCAATATGTGTCTATCCTCATTCAACGCGTCTATGTGTCCGGCACTCCAACATCACTCAACCCGTGGGGTTTCAGTATGCAGCTATCCCCACTCAACCCGTCCATGTGTCTGGTACTCTCAAACATCACTCAACCCTTGAGGTTTCAGTATGCAGCTATCCTCACTCAACACGTCTATGTGTCCGGCAATCTCCTACATCATTCAACTTGTGAGGTTTCCGTAAACAGCTATCCTCACTCCACGCATCCATGCGTCACGCGTCTTTGGTAGCGCATACTATGGGGGCTATATTTGGGGTGGCGTGATTTACAGCGCTTTGCCAACAGCGCCAACCCACTCAAGTCTAGAAGAGGGGGCGGAGGGGGATGAGAAGGTGAAGGTTTGTTCTACCTCAGGGGAGGGTAGGGGGTTGAGAAGGTTGATCTGCGAACCGATCGTTGCCTGCTACCTCTGGATCAAAATCGGCAATAAAAAATGACGAAAGTTTGAGTGGCATCGATGTACAGGGGAAGCGGGAAGACAAGGAAGACCATTCAAAGCAAATAGCTACAGGGTCGGCGATTTTGGAGGCATGTAGGGAGAGGGTGTGTTTGTCTCCGTGTGTGTGCATAGGTATACTTCAAACTAGCATTGGTCGCACTAACCGACTGAACAACGAAAAGACGGTGAGCTTTGATGTGTGCGGGCATTTCTGAGTATCGACCGTGCGAACAGGTTGGCCTACGGGATGAGACCAAACCATGTAGCGGAAAAACAAAACGTGAACGCGGTATAGGCTCCCTCGCCACTAGGCCTGTCCTCCATCGGCCGTTTTATTTTCGATTTAGATACACAAACTTTATTTCTATACTAATTTCAAGTAATTCCACCTTCTTATTCTCCGTCATACAAGCAAAACGGCCAATGGAGGACAGGCCTACTCGCCACATGGGTGGTGGAGGAGGGTTGCGTGTGTGTGTGTGCGTGTATGTGTTTATTGTTACTATCACCGACCGCGCTAACCGGTTGACCAATGAAAAGACGCCAGGCTCAGCGCGGCTGAAAAGCAGGAATTTTTTCCAAAGACCATGATGTGGGATTCCATGAGGGCCGGGGGGGGGGGGGGGGCGGGGGGATACGCTTACTCTCCGGAAAAAAGACAGATACCGTACAGTAGCAACAATTACAAGAAGATTGCGCGTGTTTTCCACGGCTGCTACTGCTTTGGACGTGGGTTCGTTTCGTTTGCGTGGATGCGTCTTGGGCGCCATGCTGGCGGCACAGCACTCATGAGGCCGCATTCATGGACGATAACAACACCAACACCAACACCGACACCGCCCACCTCCGGGTCGTTAACGCCGAGACCGACGACGGTGGAGTCGGGGAGGGCCCGCGCAAACGCGCTCGGGATGGCCGAAAAACCTGGGTTGGACGCCAGGACCGTCTCCCTCCCTCCCCCGTCCACGGGACCCCCCGCCTCTCGGCCGTCTGCTTCCCTCAGAGACGCCCAAACGCCGCTGACCATGGGATAACCCGACGTCGTGGCGAGCCAGCCGGCCCTGCCGAGAACCTTGTCGAACCGAACCTTGGCGCCATGCGGGGCAAGCTGAAGGGGGGGGGGGGGGGGGGGGGGGGGGGG